TTAGTAAGAAAAGGAAAAGTTAGTATAGACTTTATCACTCGACCTAGCTACAGGATGGCTAAATAGGTATAGTCTTTGTCCAGCAATAGTGGCTTGAGATAATATCCAGGAATCCTACCACTAATTTTTCTGTTGGGTTTGTTGTTTTCTCAGTAGTTTTTCTGTCACCAACCTGCTAGATGTACATTTGATGATACAGAAAGTTAGAGAGATGACAAACCCTGAATGTGGTTGTAGCCCTCCTGTTAGCAGTTGTGCAGCATGCCTCCTACACAGAAGGTCATAGGTAGTGACTACAACATTATAGTTACATTAGATTTTGTCTGTGATATCAACATTAGTTTATTCGATCAGCATTTGATGAAAACTTCCCCTGCAGACTGTGTACCGGATGGTTTTTAGATCACTGATACTGAGTACAAATGAAAATGCTTTATCTTGAGAAGCTATTAAATATCTTGTTGGATATATTGCCATATTTGACAAGAAGTTCTAGGATATTTTCTTTGATGTTATTTGTAAACACAATACAGCCCAAATTGGATTTTCCTGTGTCCTGACCTAAACAATCCCTTTTAATTGTTTAATTCTTCTTAAATCATAATTACAGTTGTAAAATGACTGATCATTCTCATAAGCAGAGAATTACTGGACTGAGATGGAGCATGGAGCGTGTCGTGCAGTTTTAGAGCATTGCAGTCATTTGCTGCACCATAATGTAGAGATGACACTGAAGAGAAGAAAAACAGAATTGGTACTACTATGTTTCTCCTACAGATGGGAAATCAGTAACATGTTTTTGATGAAAGGTGGTTGCTGTAATTCATATTTGTAAATGCAATGTGTTGAAAATTTGTGTAGCATTAACAAAAAATATTCATGGACTACTTTAAAAAAAAAAAAGTTATTTTCTTTCATTCACCTGTGAAATACATTATGTATCTTCAACTGCAGAGCACATGACACAAGCAAGCACACTAGGAATAGCCAACATGGGAATGAGAAACATTGTGTAGAACCAGCATCGAATGTTTTTGCACTTAGACCTCACCAGGAAAGGCAAAGTTCTCTGACAAAATAGTTTGATGACTATTTCAGTAAATTACAAAGGTCAGTGTCTCTGGCTGTGGGTCAGTATGACTTGCCCCTTGAAGCTGAAAGTAATATCTACTGTGATTCTGCAAGACTTCGCTACTGTTACTGCTACTACAGAAAATGCAAATATATAGTCAATAGATTTGTTTTTACTAGATGTTTCATTTAATAAATCTACCTTGTCTCATAACTGGAGGCAGTAATGAGAATATTTTAATTATTGTTTCATCTGGCTTTAATATTCAGGAAGATGATTTTGCTATGCACATGTATTTAAATCTTCATAACACAAAGAGATTAAATCACTGACAAAAGTATGTGAATCGCCAAGTAATAAAAGGAAAATAAGTACACAAAAAAAAAGTGTAACACTACAGAAATAATATCATAAAACTAAAGAAAATTTTAACATTTTTTGTGTTGTCAGGCTTCAAAGGCTTCTTCACCTCCCAGAGGAGCTCCATTCTCTATTATTACACCTCGAGAACAAAGAGTATATAATCCAAAAGATGTGCAATATTGGTCGTTAGAATTTCTGAGAAAAGTTAAATTGAAGCGAGACTCACTTGTATTTATTTCACTCTATTAACTTTTCTTGTGCTCCTTCAGTATTTTTAATCACACTATTGACTAATCACAATCACTATTTTCTAATGAAATTTCCTAGAGAATTATATGCATTTGACCTAAGAAGTATTCTTCTTAGGTTTAAGTACAATCACGTAGTAAGGAAACAAAACTTAACCTTGCTTATGATGAACTAGATAATGTACTACCTAGTTGAAAGGAATAAATGAAGTCTTCCATTTATCCCACAAGTAGTACAAGATGCTCAAAAAGGCAGGAGCCTTCAGTTTTAGAGAAATACTACATATTTATCTCGTCGGTTCTGCTACCATCAGTAAACTGCAGTTTTCCAGTTTCCTCCGAGTTTCTCTATTTCTCCTCCTTTTGCCTGCAGAGGAAGATGGAGAATAGGAACTGTCTGTCTGGGGATGCTGTGCTCACCAAATCCTGGCAAAGATTTTCAGTAATTCCAGATAGGAGACAGTAGCTCAGTCTCTGTAATCAGGCAAACCTTAGGTAATGCTGTTATCAAAATGGTGGCAAACAAGGTTAAATACAAAAGCCTACATTTCTAAGAAAAGTTGCTTTACATAAAAGGTAAAGCATTTCTTTATCTTGCTAGTAAGCGTGTACCAGGAGTGGAAAGTATGGCTCCTAAGACACAATGGCGATACCCTGATTCAATCTTTACAAACAAATCTTTGCTCTTAAATACAACACAAGAGATTATATTTACCAACATTTGCCCTACAGTGGTATTTTTGGAATATTATTATTATTATGTTCTGACTCCAATATTTGGAAATGTTTGAAGGCAAGCATTGCTGTATCTTAGCTGTTAGTGAAGGGTGGACTATTAGCAGCGGCCAGTGCGTATATAACAGCCGTAGCAACTCCAGCCTCAACTAATACTCAGCGTGTGTCTCAATAGAGACATTTGGAATGGAAGAACTCATTTCAATCTGAGTTAAAGGAGAAGGTTCTATCTTCTCTATTAGTTGTGTCTTTTATTATATGAGACATTACAGTTTGACATAAAGAAAGAAAAGATAAAAATGCAACTGATTAATCTTACTGTCGTAAGTGGTTGTTCCTGCTAAAAAAGAAGAGGACATTATGTTCTCCTGCAATGTATTCTGTCCTTTACAACCTTCATAGCAAAATAGCCACATACAAAAATCAGAAAGTGTATGGTTTACTCATAGCCCTTCAGTATTTATATTTCTCAAAGGGAAGGCAGAGAATGATAACCGAGAATATTGGCTAATAAAACAGCTTGGTTAACAGTCTGTGGTATTATACTCTTTGTGGTTATCACCAAATTGCCAAAAGCAATATCTAATCTAGACTGGGAAAAAGAAAGCCAAAGAAAAAAGTATGTTTTTTCTGAGATGAAGCAATTTCAATCACCCTTGGAGGCTGAAAAAGTTAACGTTTCCTTGCACTGCTACAAACATTTCCCAGTTGCCCCCAAGTGAACTAAGCTAGTAAATATTATCAAGACTAACACCTTCCCCAACTTTGAACATTAGTAGTACTAATAAAGTTGGATCTTACTTTATCATGGTATCATGGTATATTGCCTTTGAATTCACATATAAATGCACAAAATTTAACTATTAAGCTAGCCTAATGATTAAGGTATGCTGAGCTAATACTCAATGGATAAAAGTGTGATTACTAAGCGAAGTTGCATATACAAATGCTTCATTCCACAGTATCCCTCACATAAAATTAAACATTTTTCACTTTGACTAGTATTATTTGTCATGTATCTCCAACTGGATGTCTACAGATTCAAAACAGATGTGGAAAAGGATTTAAATTATGATGACCACATTAACTACAGCTTTACCCAAATGCATTGTTCCTTCCTGCATTAGTATTTTATACATTAAAAGGATATGGCTTATTTAAAATGTGATCTACTACTTGGTTTAAATACGTCATTTACAAGAGTGAACAGAAGACTTTGTGAATGCATTTCCCAAATCAGATTTTTAGCAAGGACTCATGAGTTTGTCTTTCAGAGACCCCATATGGTGCAAACAGACTATTATGGGATCAATAACAATGCCTTGCCTGTGGTTATCTATGTTGGCCCTCTTTTCAGTGATTCATTTTACATGCTTGTTTAGTCTAAAGCTTCCCAGGGGTGGAGACTGCTGGCTGTACTCAATTAAAGATCGTGGCTATCATGGTTATCATTTAAGAATTAATTGTTTGTGACATACACAAATTAAATAAATAGGGCTGTGTAGTTCTTGAATGTTGAACTGTTTTTAGTTCCCAGAATGATAAATGTAGACTGACTTCTTAGAAACTACAGATGATGGATGCAGTAAGTTTTTCTTTAATGACAGATGAGAATTCATCTTCTCTCCATATTTGACTACTCATACAGGCCGTGGCTGAAGACTTTTACAAGGTAGACTGTAATTCCATATTTAGTCCTCAGATACACTTCAGACAAGCTGGTTTAAAAGCCATATGCTAATATTGATGTTAAACTATCCTCATGGAGCACAAACTGTCACTGTACTTCCCCTTCCCTCTTTAAATATTTCACAGAGCATTACTTCTCTTTGTCTTAGGGAGATGTGAAAGGCATATTGTAATTGAGTAACAAGCTGTAGGATGCACCCTCATACATTTAAGTAGTTTTATGAACTGAGTTCTACTGAACTACTCAGGACAGGACCAATATTCACAAAAGTGCTATGTTGAAACCTGCAACACCTTACTCACACTCTTATCCTGCCAGTCCTGGCTCGAGTAGTTCTCCAGCTACAGTTACAGAAAGCAGGATGCTGGCAAAGTCACCAATTCGCTGATATATCCAAACCACTCTGCTCAATGATGGAAGGCAGTTTAAGACATGGGGTAAAAACAGCTCAGGATTTAAAAGCCTTTTCATCCAAACCTGCCAGTAGGTAGGTATTTTTTTCAGGGAGAGCAGCTGGAGTATCTTTCTTGTGGTGGAAAAAAATCCAAACAATCTCAAGTTTTCGTCTCCTTTTGCAAATACAGTGCTGCACATCCCTTCTGCTGCTGTGTTTGTCAGCAGGGAGAGAGGAGTGCACTCTTATACAATGATTTCTATTTTTTTTCTTGCATTTAAACAGCTTTATCTCATCTGCCAAGTTTTGTCAGGCAGTTGGGCGCAACTTTCTATTTAAGCTAATTTCTTTTGTAATTATCCTGTTACAAGTGTTACAATTATTCTTCTTATGAGATACATGAATCATTATATTAGAAGTTTTGCTTTAAGGAATCTAATAATATTATAGAATATAACACTAATACTACAGTAACACTGAACATGTCTGTTTTGTTAGACCACCGTATCTTGGGATGGAGATAAGCTTCTTTGTGTACAGAATGGAGAAAAAGAAGGTCGTGGTTGGACCCAGTGGATTGAAGGAGATGAAATGCACCTGGTAAGATCATGTAACAGGTTTTAAACACCAATGTATTAAAGTGGTTAGATGTAATGCAGCAGGCTGTGTGCTATGTTACCTTGCTTACTCTGACATAATTGCGTATCGGTGCGGCATTTGACTTGTTTCTAAAGCAACGATTTCATTCAGAGCCATTATGCTTTCATGTCCCTTACAAAAACTGCCTGATTTCAAAGCACTACTCTCGCTGTGTTAACTGTCTGTCCAGACATACCAGTTCAAAATGTTTACACCGAGGAAGACATTTAACAGAATGTCCTTCATCCAGTCTGTGAAATATGCAGTATGGGAGCTCGTGAAATTATGCATCCAACAATAAGCTGTAAGGGGAAAAAACACCATTGTTCTTTTAAAATAATTACAGGCTAGACTGTGTTATAGCCTAGAGAACTAAAACAGCAATTAAGTTTTTGAAATGTCATGTTCTTTCAGATCATCATTTTTACCTTTCTAAGTTAACAGGACCTGAAAGAAGATGCCTGTTCTTTTCTCACGTAGCTCTATAGCATCCTCACTCTCTCATCAGTGTGGGTAAAAGTCAGTCTTCCTGCT